AGCCGTTATCAAAAAATGTTTAATTTTGTTCTAAGTCTTTCTTCGTCTTAAATTTGGCACTTTTTGCAATAAAGAAACGTTTCCAAACAAATTTTGGACTTTTTTTTCTGTTCTTAAACCTAATTACATAGTTAAGTCCGTTTCGAAAAAATAACACAAAATATTTCGTAATGCAGAGCATTAAATTTGCTAAACTAATTATAGACCTACCTTTTAAGCTGTGTTCGTCTGAGTTTTGTTTTACCGGAAATATTTTCTGAGGTACTTCCCTTCTACGTCTGATCTGTCTGTTCCATATCTGATGTGTATGGTTTTAGATCGTGGACAGTGTATAACGTGGTATATATTTATCCATGTAAATGTCATTTCCATTGTTATAAAGTTCAGTGATACACTTCAATATGTTTCCAAAGGGGTTTCTCTGTAATGCTTACGCCACATAAAATCCTGTAGGTAACTTTCGAAGAGTTCTTTGGATGTTCTGGTACATAGATAACTTTGCTTCACTCAGGAAAATAGCGTTTCTGAAGGGTGTGTGCTTTTTATTGCCTGAAGTGATGCTTTTTTTCGTGGATATGTTACAAACCAAAGCTTGAATAATATACATGACTTCATGTTTCAGATGTATTTTTATGTATATTTGAATTTGGACATACAAAAAGATATCAATTTTTTATCCGATAGTGGTATGGTAGAGAAACAAGAACGGCAGAGCTAAAGTGGAGCATTGGGAGACTGTGGGAGCACTGGAGAGAGTGGCCAGTGAAGGAGGGGAGAAAAAAGAGGGAGAGAGGTAAAAAAATTCCTCTTTTATTAATGCAGTAAGTTTTCATTACCAATGTATATATGCAATACTCTGGGGAATTCGCTATTGTCTTGGAAGACAATAGCAGGGTTACATAATTAATGAGATCGAATGCATAATCAATTTTCCCCAGGATATTGTTTGTTAACAAATACAGCAATTGATATAACTTAAGCTGAACTATACAAAAGATAAACTTCACCACTGGACACATTAATGCAAATGTAATAGAAAGTGCCGAAAAAGCACAGATAGGCGTAATATACGCAAATATTTCAGCAGTGACAGTGACAGGTGCACAAGTGGTGTTGGCCCTAGTTGTCTTGCCATTCTTCCTAAAGTTTAAGAAATTCAGTCACCAGATCTTTTGGTTCTTCCGTGGATTCTCCTTTGAAGAGATTGATACTTGTAGGGTTCATCTGGCCGTACTGAAAACATGCACCACGCTTTCGTCTGTCCATACTAAACAGGCATGAAACTCCAATGTGGCGTGCCTTGGGTGGAATCGCATGGAAGTGAGGCAGGCACGGTTGCAAAAGCCTTGTGTTCCTTTGACGTACTTTTTTACTTGGCAGCTCTGGCAGCTCGAGTTCAGTTTGGGAAGAGTTTTTATCCTAACGTTTTTGTGGCTCAACGTTCGATGGCCTGTTGTGGTATATGAAGTTCTTGCAAACGTTCATTTGCTGGAGAGGGAAAGTTGAGAGCGACGGTCAGGAAATATCGACCATCGAGTGGCAAGAGTTGAAAAATCGATTGCCTTCATTTTTTGTCCATAAATAGCGTTTAGGTAGATAAGTAATCTGATGTAAGTTGTTCTCGCAAAAAGCCTTTTATTTTCCAGAAAAGTAAGAATATCAGTTTTCGTGGTCGGAGTCTCAAAATGGCCGTATTTTCAACCCGAAATTTGCTAACATCAACTCTCCTCGCGTTCGCAAATAAAACCACAAGGAAAAATTTGGACACTTTCCATCAATAGAACAACTCTTCTTCTCTCACTAGAAGATACTTTCAAAGCAATATTAAGACTCATTGAACTAACATAATTGAGAAACGAAGAACAGGTTTTTACGGTGACAAAAACTTTAATTTAGTAGTTGTTTTCTGCGGCATTTTTCTTCATGTGGTATAGTTCCAAATTTTCCCGGCCTTCGTTTATTCACACATTTAGACATTCATCTAAAGCATACCTGAGAATTGGCTTGGGTTCCTTTAGGCAGCCTCCAAATGAAAGCATCAAAGTCCGGTAAAAATAGTGAAGCGTGACCAAAATAACTTATTTAACGGCTCAAAGTTTCCTCGGTCGTTAAGTGAGAAGACGAAATATCTTCCTGTTCCGTCATCCTTAGCGAATTACCATTGTTAAAGTCCATATTTTTCGATAAAAAGTGACTACCAGAAAAAGCGCGTTTGACTTCTTCTTCAAAATACTGTCGGGATCGAAAATGTTACTCGTTCAAGAATTGCTTTGCGTTACTACTATGATTCCGTGAGTGTCATTTTAACGGCTCCGTCTCTTCAAACGTACCTTATGTCACGTGCAGTCACAGAACAGATTGTCACGCAGAGTCGCCGTCTGGTAGGGGTTCAGCGTTTCAAAATGGCTAAAATTGATCCAGTTTCACCTTTTTACCCCACTCTGATTGGAAAAAGAATTTTGCAATGGGAAAACCTACAAGAAGTACAAAAAACGAGCCT